CTGTTATTTTTTTTTTTCTGTCTGTACCTAGAATTATGTGTCTCTTTTTACATCCGGGTGGTTGAATGCTGGGAGTCCTGAATCTCTGTCCTAATTTTACAGATCTAAATGAGTTTAAAAAACTTAAACTGCTAATATTGAAATGCCTACTTAGCTTTGGAAAAAGAATTTGGAACTCAGGTCTTTAAGCTCATATTCCTGGTTTTGCTAGGATTTGAAACTCTTCGTGCTTTCATCTATTTCGATACTCATTAATATAGGGGCAGCATAGGAGGGCATCCAAGAGGCTGGACTCTGGAGTCAGAGTGCCCAGTGTCAAGCTCACTTGCTATGTATTAAGTTGTAAACCATGGCCAAGTCATCTACCTTCTCTGTTCCTCCATTTCATCTGTAAAATGGGCATAAAAAAACCCTGCTCCTTCATAGAGCAGTCATAATGTACAGAACATATAACACTATGTGGAACATAAATTTTCAATAAAAATTGGTAACTATCATTTAATGACTTATCCACTCAAACTTAACAAACATGTATTTGGTACTACTATATGCACATTAATATTGTAGACACCAGGAACAGAGTAGATGACAACAGAGGCACCATTGCTGTTCTCTTAACCCCTCTATACCCCACCACTTCACCCAGAAAATAGTAACAAATAATCATATAAATGCATCTATGATATAAATTACTACTATTGTTAATAATAAAAACTAAAGGGTTTGAAGTTGGGAGAGGGAGAGAATGGCAAGTCTCTTGCAGAGGTAGACCATGTAGGCCCTGTTAAGCCCGTGAGTATCATATTAGAAATTCTCTATTTTAAACTTACTTTCTTAGCAACTTTTGAATATGTAATACAGTATTGTTAAGTATAGTCACCATGCTATGCATTACATCCCTAGTGTGCAATGAAAAGGCTTTACATGTTTAATTACATATGTTTTTAAGTCTATGTGATATGAGTTCAAAAAGCTTTGCATTCTGCAGAATTCATACTAAAATAGCAGAATTCATGGAGCCAAAAAATAAGATTATGTGCAGATCCCCAATACTTACACAGTCACTCTTAGCAATAATCATTGCAATGAATTAGCAAACATAGACTATCCGTAAGTAAATATCCCTGTAAATATAAAACTCTATTTAAAGAAAAAAGGAGAAAATAATTTGATGGCAGGGATATAAAGAAGGATCAGCCTACTTAGAGAAAGAGAAAGGGGGACTTGGACAAACACAGCACACTGGGATAGAATGAGTCCAAAGAGAGCCAAAGAAAGAAAGAATGTGGATGTGAGGGAAATGGGGATCGTTTTCCATGCTGTTCTCCTCCCCAGAGCCAGGTAACTTTAACCTTTTACTACTTTTTGGTGATGCAACTGTAACATAGGTGATCCTTGGAAACCTGACCAAAGGGAAGCCATTATAGAACAAGTTGCTCAGCTGAACTGCTGGACTGCAGTTTTTGAAACAAGGAGGAGGTCCCCACTGCTCCCCTAACACTAGGGCAAGGCACAGGGAATGCAGAATGACTTTGTGTCTGAAGAGAAACTTCGAGGTAAGAAGGAGCTCCATGATTGCCTGCTTTTCTACACACGGTGATTTGCGTTTCCGCAGGTGGTACCTTTCCCAGTCCCTGATAACAGCTAGGCTAGCAGCAGGGAGGGGACTTTGGTAGGGACCCTGCCAGAATGTTGCCTACCGCTCTGTAAGTAACCCCTTAATAAAATTCATTGGCTCACCAAGCTGGACTTGTCCGAGTCGTTCTTTGGTGCAACAGGAGCTCTTACAATTTGGGGGATGGTGGTTCTTTTACGTCCCTCTGGGAAATCCTTGTAATAGTGACCCGTAATAGTGCTGGGGGATTAAGTAATGAAACAATGTACTTTCCATGTTATATTCCTAATTACCAATAATTTATGAGCTAATCCCCTCACATTGCAGACGCACATTGCAGTGTCACAGAAGGGGAAGGCATGGGTAGATTAGAATTTCTAAGAGGTTATTTGAGTAGGGGATCAAAATTCAAATTATAGACATCTTTGACTTCAAAAGGGAAAGAGTAGGTGGAACCCGATTGGTGGCAATGATGATAAATATAGCCAGATATCCAACATCAAAAATCTCTGATATAAAAGACACTAGTGTGATGAAATAAATTTCAAATGTCAATGCTCTCTAAAATCTGAGTGTTCATATCTCACATTCCCAAAAAGTGGAGAAAAATTTCATGAAACAGGAAGACAAAAATACAACCTAGTTACATATTCTAGAAGAGGTTTGGGAAGTCAGAATTCCTGCCATCCACTTTTCTACTCATGGTTCTCTCCATCTGTTCTGTATGACTGGGCTAGGATTGACAATATGGGAAGAAATATGGAACAAACAGAAAGTTTAAGAAATCAAAATACTTTGGATATCAATGTTGCCCATTTAAACTTGAAAACAGATGAGGAAAATGTGCACACTATGCTTATAGAGGCTTATTGAAAATAGTTGCAAATATTGTCTGACCTTCTAAATATAGTGTCATACAGGCATGATACAGTTCATGTTAGTTATCTGATGTTGAATTTTATGAATAAATTACTTAAATAGAAATCACAGTTTGTGTGATAAACTCTGTTGTTTAAATCAATGTTGTCTGATAGAAAAATGATACAAACCACATATGTAAATGGCATATATAACTCAAATTTTTTTAGGAACTATACTAAAAAAGTGAAAAGAAAAAGGTGAAGTTAAATTTAATAGCCTATATTTTTAACTCAACATACCCAACATATTATTGAATTGACAAGTAATAAATATAGGAATTAATGAGATATTTTACATCATCTTTCTTATTAATTATCTGAAATTTGGTATGTAATTTCAAATCTCAACCACAAATTGCCAAATAGCCACATTTGCCTAGTGGTTACCATATTGGACAATGTAAGTTTAAGTTGACTTTTTATGAACATTAGTTTGCCAAAATGAAGAGATGCAGTGAAATACATGTTAATGCTTTTTGTCAGTATCCATCACTTCAGACAATAGAAAAAATATAATATCCTGTTTGATTTCATCCTTTGGGGAGTTTCCTTATAGAACACTTTCAGGGTATTACTGTTAGTTATTTTCCATCTCATATCTGAAGCATGGTGAATGGCTCCCACATTAAGTGTTTAATTTTGAATATTTGTGAGGGATGCATTATACTTTTAATGACATTATATATAACTGAATAAGCATTGAACTGAATTGCAGCTGACAGGTTGACAAAATGCATATTTTATAAACATTTAATTAAATATGTATTGGTCCTGATTTTAGTTCTCTTGTTTTGGAAGCATTATATAATTTCTGGCCTCTGATATTTTTGGCCATTAGGCTGTGGGCATCGTGCCCTAGTACAAAATGTATCAGATTGCTCTGGCTCAAGCCACACTTTCCCCAGGTCTGTTTATATAATAGAGTTGCTTCTGTTCTTTCAGTTCTCAGAGCAATTGTCGCCTATAACTGGCTTTCACAACTTAAGTTTTACTATCGGGATGTTCTGTTTGCTTTCAAATGTACAACACTTGTAAATTTGATCTCATTTATTTAATTGGTTGTTTTGTTTTAACTGTATTTTTGATTTAAGAGAGGCAAGGTTTGGCATATGATACCATCTACTATATAATAAAGGATTTTGTTCATTGCTGACACTCAATAAACCTCACATATGTGAATGAAAGAAAGCTTGTATGGAAAAGTTCACAGCTCATTTTACCTCTATGCAGAGCAGAGGTTGTCCATCTGATAGGGACGCAAGGTCGCTCTGAGCTGCACACCTTCTGCAAAGTAACTCCCACATACTCAAGGCTACAGATGCATTTCTTTAAGCTAAATATTATAAAGACATATAAAGCCACCTGACATTTTACCAGTCATTTACATATCAGTAAGACCATTTGATTTTACACTTAGTAATTTAACTTGTTCTTTCCTGGGTGGTCTGGTTCTTTCTAGTCTCTAACTTTGGGATTATTTTCTATTAAAAATCTGTTTTTTTTTCTTTTTCTCTACATCTGTGGTTTTCATTCATGGCCAATTTTGCCCCTTCCAGGGCATATTTGGCAATATCGAGATATTTTGGGTTGTCACACTGGGTGTGGGGTGGATTCTACTGTCACATATTGAGTAGGATGCTGCTAAAAGTCTTCAGATGCACAATATAGACCCCCAATAACAAATAATTTTCCCACCCCAAATGTCAATAGTGTGATATATTGTTGTGAAAGTGGTTTAACTTGGATCACTCTAAAAATAGTGACCTGTGTTTTATATTTAAAATGATGGTTAAGAAATAAGCCAGGCAGAGAAATACAAATACCAAATGATTTCACTCATTTGTGGTGTATAACAACAAAGCAAAACTGAAGGAACAAAACAGCAGCAGATTCACAGACTTCAAGAAGGGACTAGCCGTTACCAAATAGAAGGAGGCTGGAATGGTGAATGGGGAGGAGGGAGATGGGGATTAAGGGGCACTATAATTTGCAATCACAAATAGGTAGGTCACGGAGAAGGCAGTACAACACGGAGAAGGTAAGTAACGACTCTATAGCCTCTTACTATGCTAGTGGACAGAGACTGCAATGGAGTGTGTGTGGGGGGGGACTTGATAATATGGGTGAATGGAGTAACCACAATGTTGCTCATGTGAAACCTTCATAAGATTGTGTATCAATGATACCTTAATAAAAAAAAGACAAAAAAATGATTAAAGAGAAGACTGCTTCTGTTTATGATACACCATTTGCTTCAATGTAACCAAACCTTTTTCAAATCTATAGGAGACTTAAGATAGTTTATATAAGCTTACAGGTTGAATAGCAGTGAGCATTTACTAATAAAATTCTTTCCCAGTCTTTCTTCTCCATTTGTTTAAATGTTGCAGACAAAATGAGAATTTCAGTGACTATCATCATGCAATTCCATCAGTTTGATGTATCTTTGTTAATCTGTTTTATAGGTCCCTTTAGATGGAATGTAATACAGCAGAAGTCTTTTCATCAAAAGGATTAATGCCCACATTATCATTTCTGCCATAAAACAGAAAGCCAAGTGGTGGAGGCCACAGACACCTCAAACCTGGATTCCACAATTCTACATTAAGTGCTGGAGTTTTTATTACTTGGCTGCAGGAAAGCCTTTGCCAATGCTTACAAGGAACTGCTTATCCCTGCTTCTCTGGGTCCTGTTTGATGGAGGTCTCCTAACACCACTTCAACCACAGCCACAACAGTCTTTAGCCACAGAACCAGCAGATAATGTCATCCACCTGCCTGGGCAGCGATCACATCTCCACCGAGTTAAACGTGGCTGGGTATGGAATCAATTTTTTGTGCTGGAGGAATACATGGGCTCCGAGCCTCAGTATGTGGGAAAGGTAATGGCCTGTTTCTTTTGACAACCACTTGATAGCAAGGGGGCTTATGCATTGTGTATTGTGTGTGGGTGTTTTGCACACGAGTTGAACAAACCAGTGATTAGAACACTGGAGTTGAAATCCAAGAGACCTGATTTCTCTTCCTCACTCAATGGCCCGGTAAGCTTTAGAATATCATTTAATCTGTCTTTATTTGAATTATCCCTGATTATTTTAATGATGTCAGTAAGACATTTACTCCTATGTTTTACATTCTTCACTAAAGATGTGAAGCTAAAGTATGCAAATGTCATTACAAGTGTTGTTATAGCACATTATTGCTCACAGACATTCTGGAATTGTTTACTGAGAGACAGAAAAAAATCAGCAGGCATAAATATTCTAATCTGCTATTGGTATCCTTGAATGACCAGAACGTCTTCCTTCTCTTCCCTCTTAAAAACATGACGTACCATTTGGATTGTGGTTCTGAAGTACTTGACTTGGCTTGCTTACGCTTTATAAATTATTTATTTATGGTATTTTTGCAAGCTATTTGTGAAGCTATTTATGGCCAAAGTAATAAATGTTGGAACCCAAATATGTACACATCAGTCTTCAACATAGCACATTATTTTTTAATCTTACTGTGTTTATAGAAATTTAATATATTTCAGAAAGTAGTTGATGGCAACTCTCTGTTTCAGTGCATTTTTGCTTTACTTCTGTTTTCCTTCCATAAAATTTTTGACCCATGTTTAGAATAGATAGGACTTATCAATGCATCAAAATGTATCTTTTCCAGAAAAATGAATATTTTATTTTATTTTGATTATATTAATTCTATTTAAACATTTTCTAAACAATTTTGACATGGCTTTAATAAAAACATATATGTTTGAAGAGAGTTTGAGATGAATACAAAGATAGAAATGGAGAGCCATAATAGGAGATTAGGAAGGTAATACTGAAGATTATGTCTCCCAAATAAGAAAGTCCTCAGAGCTTTCTGGAAGTTTAAACTACTGAGAAACCTGAGTCTTGTGCTTCAAATGTTAGGTCAAAGGAAACAAATCCATCAAAGATCTAAATTCTTTGCACCACATTTTTGGAATTTACCTTTTTGAATTGTGTTTGAAGAATATTGAATAACACAGTGGAGAAGGTCTTCAAATAGGACCTTGCTGTATATGAACACATAGCCAGGGTTGCCCTAAGGTATATAGGGCAGCAGACAAATATTTTCTGTGAAACACTTATCTATCTATCTTTCTGTCTATCTGTCTATCTATCTATCTATCTATCTATCTGAAAGTTAAGTCACACTAAGTTAGTCTTTGAGTACCATTCTGATTGTCCACTTTCTATTGATTTTGTGAAAGATATATATAGCCATTACACAGAAACTATCTCCTTGACAGACTGCCTGCTAGGAATCAGAGCCTGGTAATGAGGTCCTGGGATAAGTCCATAGATATTAGCCTTGGAGGTTCACATGAACCCCAAAGCTGAGTAGAAAGTCAGAGAAAAACTTAAAGGGGAGAAATGGACACTGAGGCCAAGCAGGTCAAGTCCAGGCCAGGGCACCCCACGCAGATGGTTTTGCTGCTCCCAAATAACCCCAGAAGAAATAAAAGTTTTAGAAAAATATTAGGAAAGCACTCCAAGACAGAGAAACCCCTGATGTTACCATACATTGTTTCTGCTTATATTATTCCTCCATTTGACCTTAGAATATAATAATCACTAAAACATTTCTATGGTGAGGTAACGTCATGTTCTTTGGCACACTTGCTTCTTGTGAGTTAATGTAATACAAGAATCAATGGAAAGATAGCATAGCTATACAACTCTGCCTCGGTGTCAGTTATCCTAACTCGGCTTATGATGGAAACTAGCCGTCACGTTGATGTTCCTGGCAAATAGCTGATGAGAAAGTGTTCTCTGGTTTTGATTGAAGCAGATCATAGCCTTCAGTTGCTTGAATTTGAGAAAGTTGACATTTTGTTGAATAATGAAACGTGACTTTTCTTCTATCCTAGAGAGAGAAGTATTTCACCTCCCAAAGGTGGAAAGTAAAAAGGACCTAGGGGTTCCTTAGCAAGTTCTGTTTGATACTCTGGATTCTACCTTTGTAACTGCTGGGATAGTATGAATTTCATCCAATTCATTGAAAAGATGAATTAGTATTTATAAATAGATTGAAGAGGAGTAGGTCTAAGATCTAGCCCATTGTTAAATTAAAACAACATTATTTTCACAGGCGAATGGCTCCACATTCGTAATGTGTGCTGAAAACACATGGTTCTGAGGCAATGTATGTTTCTAATGCAAATGAAACAGTTGCTAAAATTTCCTTTCCATATTAAAACTAATTAAAGTTTAATTAACTCTCTCTTATTTTAGATGTGGGAATAGTAATATGATAACACTGGGACCAATTCAAACTATTGTATGTATGTGTATAAAGATATATACATATCTTTATGCTCCTGCTTTTTCTAGAAAGGCCTTGAGACAGTTCATAGAAAACTGAAGTATTATAAATGATACAGAATTCAGGGCCAAGCACAGAGGAAAAGGCAGAAGTGCCAAGCACAGTGGTCAACTGAACTACTATATCTGAACTTTAAATTCAACTTTGTTCCTTTGCATTATTGGAAGCCTTATTTATTGAGGGGAAAGGTTGATTTCCCTAGCTTCAAATCTAAAAGAATTTATTTATGGAGAAATTTGTAGGCGGGGTCCTGAGTGGCTTAGTGGACATTAGCCTCAACAATCTTTATATTTAAAAATAACAGATGTTAATGTTGATATCACCTCAAAAAAGACCAAATTGTTCATTACCTGTAATGAGTATTATTTTACTTTATATACAAAGAAATCACAAAGGTGTCCAGAGGTAAAGCTGATGATTTCTTCAAATAGACTTTTTGTTTAACTATCATACACAGTAAAATCTGGATCAGTGTAGGGTGCCATATTGCAGAGTAACACAGAAATTAATCTGATCAGGCAAAAAATATTTAATTGTGCTATCAATTGTGCAAAATCACCACAAGCATGCATTGCATTGTTAAAGATACACAAACACAAATGGTAAGCTGAATGCTTACACCAAAATATGTACCTGGGTAACTATGTCTGGGTAGTAGTACTAAGTGATATCATAGCCTCAAATATATGTGTCAAGAAATACTGCCCATCTTATCCTCAAAGAATAATTTAAGAAATTCAGTTGTCTTATCAGCAGATGTCAGCAGCAATTCTTAAATCTAAGTTGTTTAATAGGGCAAAAAGATTTAAAACTGTAACATATATAAACTCTAATTCCATAGGCATCTGTTTATTTAATATATTTTGATTGAGAATGCATTATAGTTTGAGGAAATGGTAAGCCCTGTGGAGATAAATTTAAGCATGAAGGTCCCTACATTGCAGTTACAGTAGATAAAGTTTATTGAGTGCTTCTCTGGGCACTGTTTTAATTGCCTTACATACGTAAATGTATATAACCTTCCAAGAGCACTGTGAGGGAGATTATTAATAGCCCCATTTTACTTATCATAAAACTGAAGCACAGAAAAGTTCAATAACTTCCCCATGACCCAACATCCAGTAAATGCTAAAAGTAAGACTTTAAGTAGGGTAGTTTAGCCCCATTGCACAAAAAAATATCACAGTTCATTATTATCCAAGAGTCTTGAGAACCAACAACGATTTCAATATTCTGTCAAAAGTGCTATGATGGAGACTGTATTAGGGATGGTGGAGACAAAGGAAGGTGTGTCACTGTGTCTACAAGATGGAGGAATTCAGGAAAGTCTTCATAGATGAGGAGTCACCTGAGGTGTGTCTTGAAAGATGACTTTATCTCTTCAGAAGAGATTGTCTGAAGAAAAGTTTTTGTACACACTGAGGCCTAAAAGTTCAAAGTGAGCCTAGATAACCATAGTTCAATGGTTAGAGAGTATGAAGCCAACTGTTCACAGTAGGTAAAGACAGAAAGTGTGGAGAGACGCAATTCTGACACTAATATCAGTACTATTGGCTCCTATTTATTTATTTGAACATAATTGACATACAACAATATACTAGTTTCAGGTGTTCAACATAATGATTTGATATTTGTATATATTGTGAAATGATCATAATAATTCTAGTGTATTCTGTTATCACTGTGCATTGTTACCATTTTTGTGTGTGTGTGATGACAACTTTTATGATTCACTTTCTTAGCAACTTTCAAATATGCAATAGAATGTTATTCAGTATAGTGCCCATGTTGTATATTATAGTATTATTTGTTCTTAAAGGTATCAAGAAAGTGTCTTAGAGGATTCACATGGGCAGAATGGCAGTTCTAGAATGATGAGTGAGCCATTTAAGACTCAATGAAGATGGTGAAAGAGGTGTCAAGATAGTGAGCACACACAGGAGAAGGTGACCGTAGGCTTGTCTAGGAAGGAATGAAGGAAATGGGATTAGAGTTGGAGATCTAAAAGGTAGAGAGACAATGAAAGATTTCAAAATCCACTGGCCATGGGAATGAAAAGGATGACACAAAAAATAGTGTGGATAATTCCATGTAGAGATTGAAAGAGAGAGAGAAGGAAAAAAATAATAAAAGACTCAGATTTCTGACTTCCATTCTACAAATGTCCTGTATAGGTTTGGGATTAGAGTAAGAAATAAAATGATCACTGATAGACATTATATATCAGTAGTCACTTAGAAGTGCCCAGGTGAAGTATCTTATACATATTTAGATGTGTTACTCTAGCATTCACAAAAGAGGCCTATAGTAAAGGTACAGACATAGAAGTAATCAATATACAGATGGTAGTCAAAATCATGCTGGTAAGTAACACAGTCCTGGAAAAGCTAGAGAAGGTCAGTGAACCTTGATTTTTAACTGCAAAGTAGATGGAGGAGAACTAGATGGATCTAATTAATAAGAGGTAAAAGACAAATATTAGTGTCATGGAAAATAAACTGAAAGAAAAGTTTTAGGAATGAGA